CCTGCAAGGCCTCGCTAGGCCTCAGGCTTGAGTACCGCGGCGCCGCCGCGGGGAGTTCCGGGCTGGGCGGGTTGAGACGCGGGCGGTGGGCGAGCGGGACGAGATGTCGCCGGAGGGGCTGCTCGCCTCGCCGGACAGGCGGTTGGCCCCTGGGGCTGTTGTCGGTGTATGTTTCCTCACGACCGGGAGGCGGGGGGTGGGTAGAGATTAGCTTCGCGCTTGCGGTTCTGCAAGGATGGTAGCAGCTCTCGTAGCTTTTGCATCCTCCTCCCGTCCTGTCAGCAGCTCTCCTTTTAAATATGGCGTCGTGGATATTAACTAGTTATTAGCTAGAGTCAGGCTGCTCTTTGCATGGAGGTGGGGAGTTTCGCCTGACCGAATTCAGGCCCTCAAGAAGACACCGGTCGTCTAGATCTGATCCAGCACACTTGCAGTTCCGGAGATCTTCTGGCAGGCTCTTGCTAAAAGGCTTGTTGGAGGAAGGTAAAAGCCTGTTAAGGTTTGACAGTTGCCTATAGCCCTTTTTTTTTTTTTTTTTCCTTAAGGCAATAATGGAAGATTGATCCTCACAGATAAAGGAGATTTTTACCTGTAAAATCTTGGCAAGATCTGCTGTTTGTTTATACCGTTACTGAATTATTGTGAAAAAAAATTATTACCAATACAAAATATTATGGTTAGTTAAAACTCGTTTTCGAGTTGCATTAGGCTCTCATTTTGCTGAATGGCTACCTGAAAAAGCAGCAGGTATTTATTTATTTTTTGGTCATAAGGTACATAAATAGGAGAGTAGCTTTGCACATACCTAGCAGTGGATTCTAAACTAGGTACTACTATGCAAGGACACTTGTAAAGCTCTAGGAGGACAAATAATATGGTAGTTGTTTGATTGGGGTTTTTTTTTAAAAGGGGGTGTTTTTTCTTTTTAATTCCAGTCCATTCGCTTTGCTTTTGTAATTATGTCCTAGTGAAACAAAGTATCCTTGCAGACAGTCCAACAAAAACATCATCTGAGAGCCAACTGAAAAATGGAACTAGAATGTTGAGAACTACAGGGAGAGGTACAGAATAAAACAGATGCAGTTATTGTGACATTTTACAAATACACAGTCCATCATCATTTTGACTCTTGTGGGTAGCTTTTATAAGATAGGAATGGCCACCTTGGGTAGAACAAGCTCCAGCATAGTTGAGAAATGCAGCCTGTGACAGGGTTCAATAGCAGGTGTGTAAGAACCTCTGAGGGTAAGTACAGAATGACGATTCCCCATATACTCTTCCCAGCTTTGCTTCTTTCCAGCTTGTGGGCTTCCAGAGCCAGAGATGGTGTCTTTGTAATTAGTATATCTGCTAGATTGTTCTTCAGTGAACTTTTCTGATGCTTTTTTTAACTGATTATATTTCTGGCATACAAACGTTGTGTGGCAAAATGTTCCGTTAATTCAGTAACCTTTCTGAAGGAGTTATTTTCTTTGAATTTGTTATTTCATGATCTTACTTGATGTCTCCAATTTTGGCATTCTGAGAAGCCATGAGTAATTGTTCCTTATTCATCAGGTTTATGCCACTTATTACTTTATTATCTCTTAACAACCTTATGACTGTGATGTCTCACTACAAAAAGCAATAGTCACCTTGTCTCAGAAAAGAAGTCTTGAACATGAGAAGAGCAAGGGGACAACCAGGAGCATGAGACTAAGAAGAGTAATTTAAAAGACTTGAAGTGTTGAGCTTATAAAAGAGTGTTTCAGTTGAGAAAGGGGCTCAGGTATGATGAGTCTCCCTCATGAGTGGAATGAAGGTGAGAACTTGAAAAAAAGTCTTAGGAGGCAGGCTTAAAAATGAAGAGGAAGATGAACTATTCTACATAATGCATCATGTAACTTGTCACAGGACATTACAGAGTATGAACTGGTTCAAGAATTAATCTAGAGAAATTAATGGATGATTGGTCAGTTGACAATTATTAACAATAAAGCTCTGGATGTTGTCTCTGGCCTGAGACATTCCTGTACTGCAGATTGGGAGGAAATGTGCAAAACCGAAGGCACTCACTGCTTCTGCAGTTGCCTGCTTTTTTTCTTGACTATTCAGTGCTGGCAGGTACAGAGTAAAATAAACTTCTGCCTGAAATGTTTTTTGCCTAAATGATAGGAGTAGTTAGCATGCAGTAATGCAAATTCATGGAACACAAGCTACTCTATTTCATTGCTGTATGAATGATTTTTCAATATGTATTAAGTAATTTGTTCCACAAAAAAAAGTTGTTCTTAATGTGCAGTCTGAGAACTTGTGGCTGCAATGTGTCTTTCACTGTTAGTTTGTGCTGTCTCATTCCTGCCTTCGCTGTTGAGTACACTGTGTTGGCACAGCTACAGAATAAACTGGACAGGGATGTGGATCTGTTGAAAAGCAAACATTTTTTTCCTTGGGTATTTTTTCCCGTATCAGTGTCCCAATCCTGTTCAGAATTGGGCAACGCAGAGAGCTGTCAGCAAAGTGTAGGGAGTGTTTAAGGAGCGTTGGTACTGAATATTAAAATACAGCTTACTTTAGAGGGGATTAATGCTGTTTACTGCTTTGTAAATTAGTATCTCTGTTTGCTTATGGATACATGTGGCTCTGAGAAATTTAAATAAAGTGTCGTGTGCTGTTGATGTTGCTGTTCGAAGTAGGACAAGTTGTCTAAAGCATTCTTTTCACAGCCATGAAAAAAATTAATGATAGAAGGTTCTGATTTCTGCTAGCATCCTAATAATGCTGACTTTTATTTTGCAAACACATAGCTAACACAACAAAGACTTCCATTTAGTCTAAAGTTTCAGTCCTGCAGGTACAAAATCAGAAATGCCTCTGTGATTCTAGTAGGAGCAGCTAAAGAATCATCTACTCTGTGGCTGAATGATTATTTCTGTATTTCAACTGGAGATTTTTTTTTTTAATTTGATCTAATCTCTGTTAAAAGATCTTTTAAGAACTGTTTTTTCTCAGATTAAATTAACTGCTTGAGTAGATGCCAAAGATGCTTTAGCACAGAATACGTTAAAAATCATTCATGATCCATTCCAGTGGCATGGTTGTGGGGAGAGGTAACCTCTAGTTGAGAGACAATGAACAGGCAGACAGAAGGCAGAAACTCCTTGAAAAACTATGCAGGTTCAGTGAAGGTGATCATGTAATTCCTTGAGTCTGCGCTAATCTAATCATAAGTGGTGTGCAAGAGAACATGTTAGCCTTAGGGCTGGCAATTTGAACAGTAAGCACTTGAACAGACAGAGGAACCAGAATAACACTAAAAATCAGTCAACAGAGGCAAATTTTACTACATTGGCACAATTATATTGGACTAAGAGATAAATTTATTTCTCTGTATGAAATTCAAGTGAAATGTACTATCATTCACTTAAATAGCTGAAGTGAATGGGAGGGGAAAAAATCCTGTCCTGGTCTTGAGAATACCCCAAGATTTTTGTTTATATATTCTGTTTTTCCTCTTTCAGCATAAGGATGCATACCAGGCCATATTGGATGGTGTGAAAGGAGGTGCCAAGGAGAAGAGACTTGCAGCCCAGTTTATTCCTAAATTCTTCAAGCATTTTCCTGAGCTAGCTGACTCAGCTATCAATGCCCAGTTGGACCTCTGTGAAGATGAAGATGTTTCTGTAAGAATAAGAACATACATTGAATTTGTATTCTGTTATTCTTTTCTCTCTCTTTTTTTTTTTTTTTTTAAATGGGCTATGTCTTTTGGGAGGGGAGAGTTTGTCTTTGGAAAACTTAAGAATGCTTAGCTGTATTCCTGCAATAGAAGAATCTATTGTGTGATGGCATGGGAAGGTACATCAGTGTTCATTTGTCTCTTTTGCTCCCATAATAGATCAAAGGAACAGCTCTGTAGAGAGAAACTTAGATATTCAAATGAACCGTATCACATTTTTGCCTTTCAAAAAGCACTTTGTGGTAATTGATTCTAATAAATCCTGCTGGGAGGCAAGAAAATTTTGTTTGCACCTGAGAACCGTGGGGATGTGATTATGAATGTATTCTTGCAGAAGTCTTGAGATGCTTCATGCTGTTACTCTGATGTTGATAGAAGCTGTACCTTTGAAGCATCTCTGGTTATAAGATCTTAAATGACTTGGACAGATCATTCAAGGATTTTTGTTGGTGGTGGAACAGAACCTGGAGTTTATCTCTGCCATATGCACAACTGTGAAACTGTCCTTCCTGTTAGTAAATATGACTCCACAACACCACAGATCCCAGCCCTTTATTTTGTTGATCGAATGGATGATTTTTTGAAGTGTTGTTTGAATTTGTTTTTTCTCCAGTGCTGCTTAGCTCTAAGAAAAATATTTTCTTCATAAATACTTCATTATCATTTCATAGCAAATATGAAATTTGGACTGCCATTAAATTCTCCTGAATGATAGTAATTTTAAAAGAGTATATGGTCATTTTCTCAAATTTGGCTGATTTTTCTGCCAATTGCCTTATTTTTTTGTAATTACTTAAATTTTTTATTTCCATGATGCTAACAATTTTGACAGATCCGGCGACAAGCAATCAAGGAACTGCCTCAGTTTGCCACTGGAGATAATCTTCCTCGGGTAGCAGACATACTGACCCAGCTTCTGCAGTCAGGTAGGAGACATTGGTAGTTTCCTGGCTGTTTTTGTAGCACAGCTGAAAATCTGTACAGTTTTGTTCTTTAAAAAGTTTTCTGTTGATACGTAATTTGTTACAAAGTAGTCTGTCCCAGTGCCACTCATGTCCTGCTTCTGCTCTTTTCCCCCTCCTTTATATTTGCTGTACAATTATGCTGCTAATTCTGCTGAAAGGTCACTAATTATCCTAATCTAAACTGAAAATCTTTCTTTTAAATATAACAAAATTTTTTTCATACAAGTTCTCTGAAATCATCTATAGAAAAAAGGGGGGGAGTGGAAAAAAAAAACAACCCAACCCTCCAGTTATGGACTGCAGCAATTTACCTTCTGAAAAAGTTACTGGGTTTCTAATCCAGGTACTCAGGAACTTTAAAAATCCTGAAGGCATTTTCTTCCATACAGTGCATTTTTGGTACAAAATATTTAATTCAGGATTTAATATACAATATGTATTTTTTTAATCTCAGTAAATTATAGAGTGCTAAATATTAGATGTTCAAATTTGTATTAAAAATGCACGATTAAGTCTCTAGGCTTCTCAGAAGAGACTTTTTTTGAGACTTACACATTTCTTAATTCATGAGGAAAATTGTTTCTCCCACCTAGAAATACTGTAGATTACTGAAAAGTTTAAAAAGAAATTACTATTTATTTTACCTTAATTTAGTAAAGGTCAGCTTGTTTATTCAGCTGTTCCTTAAAATGACTAAATAAATTGATTAATACCTTCAAGTTTTCAGTCCTATCAAGTTGGTAATATTAAAGTTTTGGCAGGGAGGTTGAAGTGGCAAATAACTTTTTGTTTTGCTTCCAACTTTCATAACGTGACTTTCTACTTCCTCAGTCTAGTAGTCATTAAAAATACAAGTTACGTTGTTTATAATTGTATGCTGATGATGGAATAGTTCCTGTGAGATATCAGAAATCTTTGTTTTTCTGCTCCTACATTTACATTTCAAGGATATGCATATAAGGTGGTTTTTTTTCTTCTCTTCAGATGATTCTGCAGAATTCAATTTGGTGAACAATGCTTTGCTCAGTATATTTAAGATGGATGCTAAAGGTAAAGGACATTTTTCTATAAATGTCTTTTATTAATACTTTCCAGTCTCTAGTAGAATGAGAGCAGGACTCAATTTTGTATCTTCTTAGTACAATGCAGAAGTTAGAGACATACACTCATTGTTTGGTTTTACAAGCAATACAGAAGTTTTCAGTAATTGTGGATCCGACACAGACCAGTGAAAGAATGTGGATTCTTATGTCAAGCTACGTGAAAATTGCAGGTTTTCTTAAAAGCTAGGCTGGCAGTTATTTTAAAATGTGTTACGGAGTCTTAGAGGAGGAAAATTCTTCTGCATAGAAAGCTCAGCTCTTAACGTCTGAAATGATTTGCATTACCTGAATTATTCTCCGTTCAGGGACTTTGGGAGGCTTATTCAGTCAAATTCTTCAGGGAGAGGATATTGTGAGAGAGCGAGCCATCAAGTTCCTCTCTACAAAGCTGAAAACCCTGCCTGAGGAGGTGATGACAAAGGAAGTAGAAGAGTTCATATTGACTGAATCAAAGAAGGTGAGTGTCTTTATTTCAGTACAAACTGAAGTATTATTAAACTATCCCTTATCACTGGTGTTGCTCTGGAGGTCTGTTTAAACCACATGTAGAGTTAAGCATTGTACAAATGAGGTTCTGCTAATGATTCACAAACTTTGCAGCATATTTTTGTGGGAATGTTAAAATAATGGTAGACTCTTCTCATTTTGTAAGAGTGACTTTTATTAGAATCATAGAATCATTCATGTTGGAAAGGAGCTTGGGAAGATGGATCACCTCAGTGAATCACACTCAGCTGAATTCAGATCAGATTTCTTGGTGCTTTGTCCAGTTGGGTTTTAAAAAGCATTAAGGATGGAGATTTCCCATACTGTCTGGGCAGCCAGCTCTATTGTTTACTTGTCCTCAACATGATTTATTTTTTTCTTTGTCCAGTTGGAACCTCCCATTTCAGTTTTGTATTGTCTCATTCTCACCCTGTGCACCTCAGTAAAGAACCTGGCACTCCTACTGTTGGTGACTCATTCTTTAAGTATTGGGGGATCAGTGTTAGGTTGCCTCAGATCCTTATCACTTTTTTCCTTTAGGCTGAAAAAGCCCAGTTTTGTTAGGTTCTCACAGGTCATGACACTTGCTGGCTCGGCTTTCTAAAGCTTATCAACATCTTCCTTGTACAGGAGGGCCAGACTCCAGGTGCAGTATTCCAGATTTGGTCTAATGAGGTCATAGCAAAGGAGGAGAATTGGGGATCCTTTTGCTTTCCTCAGTCTACTGGCTGTGCTCTTGTCACAGCCCAGGACACTGTTTGTCACCCAAGGAATGGTGCTGACACTTAGGTGTAGCCTGCTGTCCCCCAGAACCCTCAAGGTCTGCTCAGCAAAGCCGATCCCCAGCCAGTCAGTCCCCAGCATGTGCTGTGGCAGGGAAGTTAGTTTATCCCAGGTGCAGGGATTTGTCTTTTTTGAACTTCATGAGATACCTGTGCATTCCCCAAGCTGAGGAAGATACAAAAAGTGTTATAACAATACTAATTTCATGTTTATTCTGTGTGAAGCATATGATTTTGTTAGATAAGAAATTTGTTCTTAAGGTTTAGAGTTCAAGGAAAATGTTTTCTGTGTACAACTTAATGGCAGTTACGTTAATTTGGAGATGCATACAATTATACTGCATGTTTTCATGTGTTCCTTTAAACTTGTGTTTTTAAACCAGAAGCTAAATTTAGATGCTAAATATTTGCATACTTTACCTTTTCGAATCAGTTAGACTTGACTTCAAGGTTTGCAAATTACCACCATAGACATATGTTTTCTGGTGTTCTGTTAAGGTGCTGGAAGATGTGACAGGCGAGGAATTTGTTCTGTTCATGAAAATACTGTCTGGATTAAAAAGCTTACAGACAGTAAGTGGGAGGCAACAGCTAGTGGAGCTGGTAGCTGAACAAGCTGACCTGGAACAAACATTCAATCCAACTGATCCAGATTGTGTGGACAGACTTCTACAGTGTACTCGGCAGGCGGTGCCACTCTTCTCAGTATGTATTTATTTGCTTTGCATGAGGAATATTGTGGAAAGTTAATGGCTGTAGCTTCACTTCAGTGTTCTCAGTGATTATATTAAAATGACAGCATATCAGAACGTCCCTGCTTTCAGCTTCTAGCATATTAAAATGTTGGAAAACATCCTTAAAGCTTCCAAATACAAAGAGCTTTTGTGTTATTCTCTGCTCTTTGACATTTTCTTTCAAATTTAAGATACTACAGTGAATTATGACAGGATTCTCACATTAGTCTCATACATGTCTGACTGTGATTATTTCAAGTCTAGTGCCAGGCAGTTGCAGTACTTAGGCCTATTCTTGCATTATAGGCAGTCTTTTCAGCTTCTAAGTTTAAGCTCCCTGAAAGGGTCTCTGCTTTTCAGGAGCTAGAGGGAGGTTTGTTAGTTTTAAGGTACAGCTGTGCGGTAGGCATTTATAAGGGTGGTGGAGTGGTGGGGGAAGAACATTTAACTCTTTAAAACTCAGAGTAGCCTGAATAATATGCGATGTTTTTTGCAGAAAAATGTGCATTCCACAAGATTTGTTACTTACTTCTGTGAGCATGTTCTGCCAAACCTCAGTTCTTTGACTACTCCAGTGGAGGGCCTTGATATCCAGTTAGAGGTAAGCCAAAGCTAAAATGTCTTTCAAATCATAAAAAATAAGTATCTTTGATGAAGACAGCTATCTTTAAAATTGCAAAGTCTTTCCTTAAGTAGTCTTCATTTCTTAGCTTGGAAGAAAACTAGCTACACTAGGAAAAAAATGTTTTGCTGTATTGAGGCATGACTGAGCATTGCATTTTAAAATGTGCGTCATTTGTCCCGAGCTTTAGAAGCAAGGCTAGAATAAGTAGATTGGTGTAATCATTTTTATATTACTGTCAATTTTTTTTTTTAAGCACATAGCATTTACTGAAATGAATGTTGCATGGCTTGTGCTAATTTAGCCTCCTAGGGGAGTGGCTTAATCTCTGTAATTTTGCTTACGTTAATCAGTGTTTCAGCTAGATCTTGTGAATCTCACTTTGGAGGTGAGCTGTGCTGCAGACCTGGGAGGTGAAGCTTTGTTTACTTGTTGACTAATGATGTTTGTTGGGATTAGACACTGTCCTGGTTCAGCTAGAATAGGGTTAAATTTCCCCAGCAGTGGGAAGGGAGCTCCAGCCAGGTATCTCAGGAACAATTTCTGTGTTGCTTTTGTCCCTGAACGTACCTGCAACGGGACCGCTCTATCCTTGTGGTATTTCTCTGTGTATCTTTTGTCCTATTTACTGCTATTACTGCTTATTGTTATTGCTATTGTTGTTGTTCAGTTTATTATTTGTTACACTGTTGTATTAAATTTTAACTTAACCCCGGTGTTTGTACTTCACTCTCTGCCCCATCCGGTCTGAGGGTGGGGGAGGGACAACAGCAGCATGGTCTCAGATCCCCTGCAGGGCCTAAACCACCACAGACACAGAAACTTGTGTTTCTGTTTGAGGACATGAAAAACAGACTAGGCCTGTTCAGCCTTGTATTCTTTCCTTTAGGAGGGGATTAATTTTAATAGCTGACCTCTACTGTGTCAGCCATAGTGAAGTGATAATCACTTTTAGGTTGAAAGTTAAGCCTTTGTACTTTTCAGTTAACATGTGGAAAACCTGATTACCCTTATGTGTAGGTTTTGAAGCTTCTTGCTGAAATGAGTTCATTTTGTGGTGATATGGAAAAGCTTGAATCAAATCTGAAGAAGCTGTTTGATAAATTACTGGTAAGACCAATCAATTCAAATTTTACTCATATAAAACACTTTAAAAAATTAATCAAAGCAAGTTATTTTTATCTATTGATCTATTTATCCTCTTTCTAAAGTGGCTATTTCAAAGATAGCCCTGTCCATGATACAAGGTCAGACATCATTTTGCAATTCAGAGCCTTTGTAGATAGAGAGCTGTTACCTGCATAATGTTTTTAATCCAGTAAACTCATGGCTTTGTTCTTTTCAGTTTTTATAGTCATGATTCATGTTGATCTCATTAAAGGCTATATCTGCACTGACAATTTTAAGCAAATATAACACTCAGAAGCATTGGTGCAGTACATTGTTGCTTCCTGTGGTAATTGCTACCGTAATATTTCCTCCAAGTCAGAGGTTTCAAGTCCCATAAGTGTCGGCAAAACAGCTGCACCAGAACTTCACGCAGCAGTTCATCATGTTAGTGTAGGAATGGGGGATGCTTCTTAAATTGTCAGCATAAATAAACCCTCCAGTTCAAACACTGCAAAAGAATGGTCAGTCAGCGTAAATGTCTCATGCATTTGTTTTTCCTTTCTATTCATTAGGAGTATATGCCACTTCCTCCAGAGGAAGCAGAGAATGGGGAAAATGCTGGCAATGAAGAGCCCAAGTTGCAATTCAGTTATGTGGAGTGTTTATTGTACAGCTTCCATCAGCTGGGTCGTAAACTTCCGGACTTCCTCACAGCCAAGTTGAATGCAGAGAAATTGAAAGACTTTAAAATCAGGTAATGATTTAGAGGCAAGTGTTAAAGTTCTGTTAGAAAGCGTGAATTATTATTGTCTGGGTGCTGAAGAAGCACAAATCAGTTTGATGGAAGATTTACTTTGAGCATTTTTCCTAAAGGGAAAAGAATTAGATGACAGTTTCCCTTTGCTTATGCTTTTATTTTATGGGAATACATAAAATTTATTAACAGATTGCTTTTACATTTTTTAGGCTACAGTATTTTGCTCGAGGGTTGCAGGTGTATATTCGACAGCTTCGTCTAGCACTTCAAGGAAAAACAGGAGAAGCCTTGAAAACAGAGGAGGTAACTTGTTGAAGGAATTGTGTTTTTTCTAATTGAACCTAGCAAAGTAAGCACTGGCACACATTAATGGGCTGCAGTCTGTTTTAAGTATGCATATATATTAAGGAAATAATACTGCTAACACCTATTGCAACTGCATCTTACCTGATGCTGCATTTTGCAAGCTAAGATGATCTTCTGGTTTCTACTGTTAGCTACTCTCTGCATCCCTATGTATTTGGCTTAACTGTTCTGCATTTTGTTTTGAAGGGGAGATTTTCAGATATTGTGGGAAGTACACTGGAACATTAAAAGCAACTCATTAGGGTAAAATTGCAAGAAACCGAAGAGTATTTGTAATGAAAACGCATAAGAGTACATAACCTTCACTATTACTACTGCTATAGCAATTCACTAGGAAGAGCAGTCAGTTTAGTGTTATGACTTCAAATGCAGTTGGTATAATTTAGAACTGCTTGAATATGTGTTCAGTGGTGTTTCTTTTTTTACAGAACAAGATTAAAGTGGTTGCCTTGAAAATAACTAATAACATTAATGTTTTAATCAAGGTAAGTCTTCACATTATGAAGGAGTAAATTTACACAGTAGAGTAACCTGTGCAAAAAAAAGGAATAGATTTGAACTGAGTTGTACTGTGTTAAGTTAGTCGGTGTTAGCCAGCTGAGGGTTGCTGCCTCTTTACTGTTTCTAAAGAGACAGGGATCTGCAGTTTATGTAAGCAACTTAGCCGCTGCTGCTGCTGTTGGGATAGGGTGTTGAGGCCCTTTTCTGCAGCACTAGTTGCCAGCAGGAGCAGAAGACCTTGCTTTAGGGGTCTGTGGATTCTGGCCGAGCCTTTTTTCCTTGTTGTTTCCCCTTTCTGCAGTGGCAGGGAGGGTAAGGAATACTTTGAAGAGGTGCAAGGAGGTGTAAAGGAGGAAGGAGGCAAAGCAAGTGGCTATACAGAACCTTTTTCTCCAGAGTCTAGGAGAGATGGGATGCAGAAGGAGACTTCCATCCAGAGCCCTTGAAACCATTCTGATTTCTTTTAACCACCTTTTCCTCTTTTTCCTCCTTTTCTTCACTTCCATCCCTCAGTCACCATGATAAACCAAAAACTTTGCCCACAGTGCTGAGAAGCTTCTCTTTTCACCGTCATAGGGATATCGGTTGTCTCCCTACAGAACCATTGTAGCTCATGATAAGATGCTTGATGTGCATAGGGAGAGAGAGAAGGTATATTACATCAGTAGAAGACACTATTCTGTTAATATAAATCTTATTTGAGTTTCCTAGAAAAGTGTATGGACTAAGGCAGCCAGATAAGGCAGTTAGCTACTGCCACCTTCTCCCTCTGCCATGGGACTTCAAAAAGGATGTAAAATTGTTGGACAGTAACTGTTATTCTAGAGTCTCAGTAGGTAGCTAAAATTTTGAAGTGCCCTTGATGTGAATTTAACTGTAAAATGTCCAATTTTGCCTCCGTAGGATCTCTTCCACATTCCTCCTTCTTATAAAAGTACAGTTACACTGTCCTGGAAACCAGTACAGAAGGCAGATGCAAGGTAAGAATTTTTCATATAAGAAGAAAATGGTGGTGTTAATTTTTGCTGTTTACAAAGTAAAGATCCCAAACTTGTGTATATATAATGTAAAAGTTTCTCAATCAAAAATAACACCCATCCTGGAAGGAATGAAGGCTGTGGAGTGATAATCTTAGTCTTGCTTTAGGGATACAGTAGACTGAATCAGCTGGAGACTAGCTTACTTTCTCTTTGGAAGTATTCAGGGCATCTTCATGAGCTGCTGTTAGCTTCCAGCGGTTAATCTTTGAGGCTGAACTGCTTGCTATTCCTGTACTTGTCACCACAGGGGTGTAATGGCCTGTTTTTGTTTTCTTCTGTCAGTCAAAAAAGAGCAAGTGAAGATACAACCTCAAGTTCACCACCAAAGAAAGCTTCAGCGGGACCAAAGAGGGATGCTAGACAAATATATAATCCTCCCAGTGGGAAATACAGCAGTAACCTGGGGAGTTTTTCTTACGGTAAGTTAGGCATCTTGGAAGAACTTGTGATAGTTGTACCTTGAGGTGGGGAAACAAAGAAAATAAGCCAACTTCCTGTCACAGTCTCAGAAGGTCAAATTATACTGTCACCAATTCATGTGTGTAATGGCCTCTTTCTAGCTGTTGATCTGTTTACAGCCAGCCTCTAAACTATATATGTCATTTGCAAGTTAGTAGTGTTTTAATACATAGTAATTGAAGTGTTTTGTTCTCTATCATGACACACAGCACTTGCACCCCAAATTTCCCACTGGACAGACCAGTTGCTGCATGTGGCAGAGCTGGGCCACCTCCTGTCATATGACTGGACCCATGTTGAGCTCCCATTACAGCCACTGCTGATGTTTCAGACCTGATCCAGAACTTCTGGGAATTGCCAGGTTCACCTTGCACACACGGTTTTGTCCTCATACTCCCAGTCAGAGTGATACTGTCTCTGTTCTGGGCAAACCACAAGAGCAGTTGCCGACTGGATGAACAGGTCCATCAATGGCAGCAGCCAGTTCTTGCTGTGTTCCCTGTAGGCCTCCTGGTCCTACCCCTGGGAAGGAACAAGACTGCTATGGCAAATTATCACCCGTGCCCATAAGTTGAAAACTGACCTAAAGCACTGTCTTGTATGTGAAACAAAGAGAAAAAGTAAATCTTCTGCAGGTTTCTTCTGCAGACTTCAGGTGATGCATCTGTGTCTCAAGATAAGCTTGTAGTCCTACGGTTCTAAAAACTAGTACATTTTCACAAAAAATCTTTTTATTGCTTGCACTGTTACTTGTTAGTGAGATGCTTAGGCTTTTGATTTCTGTACTGTTTAAAATAAGCACACAGTTTTTCATAGATTAATATGACCTGTATTTTAAGACTATACGTGAAGAGAAAGCATGGAAGGGGAATGAAAGTTTGATATATTTTCAAACAAATACAAAGAAACTTTACCAAAATATTTTATGGGTTTTCTTGCTGTGGTCAGATTTGTTCTTAACAAAGGGAACGGAATACTTTTTTAACAGTATACAAATAGTTTGTGTGGTATCCATCTGTGTCGTAAGATTTTTAACTGGAGATGCTTAAGATACCAGCCCAGCAAAACAAAGGACAAATAGACTGTGGCTTTCCATCGCCTTATCAAATCAATAGGAGCAAGTCAGAGAAGCACCTCAGCGGTGTTACTGGACAGAAGGATGAGCCTAGGTAGTTTTATGAAGTTCTTTACAGACCAGTTTTCAATTCTGTGATAATGGATTGGCCCAAATATAGTTCTAAAACGATGCAACAGTTAGGTATCATAGTGTTAGTATGCAGAAAGACAACATTTAGTTTAGAGAGGCTAATTCTTCCGACCTCCTTTTACAGTTGGTGGGGTTTGTTCTCCACCAAAGCATAACTCTGAGATCTCATGGTATATAAGCAGGATTAGCCTCAGAGACTTAAGCCAGCCTTCAGTACCTCCAAATTATTGCTATTTAATTTTAATCTGTACATAGTGTAAAACCTGTATGAAAAGTTTTGACTTCTATTTCAGAGCAAAGAGGTGGTTTCCGGGGTGGACGAGGAAGAGGCTGGGGAGGACGTGGCAATCGTAGCCGAGGAAGAATCTACTGAGTAGACCACTAAATCTTCTGTGCCCCTGAAGGGCTAAAGTGAAAGTGCTACTCAGCAAGTTTGCTTGGAGTATTGTTTCCTTCAAGGACTGCCTTCCACTAAGACTGACTTAAATGTTCTTTCTACCTTTGTATGTATGATCTACTTTTCTAACGGACTACAACTTGTCCATAGTGAAACTACAACTGTATTTTTGGATGCTTACAGTCAGCAGTTTTGGGTTCTTATTTTTGAAGTGTCTTCAGGATTTATTCAAAATTGGAAAAGAGCGTAGATGTTTTATCAAAAGCTACATCTTGACAGTTTGTATATTAACCTAAAAATCAGCTACTGCATAACTGAAACTATATAATTGAGTTTATGTATTAAGTAATGGACAGGAAAGGCATGACAACAGAGATACGTGTCAGATAAGCTTAGCAGCTGAAGTAATCCTTTCCTCATCTGTAACCATATTTTGCAATAAGTGGAGAAGAGTACCATTGTTAAATTTGCTTTGATCTACTTTTTTTTTTTAATGGAATTGAATGAGATACATGCTGGGTTTTTTTTAAAAGTTTGCAACATGGATGGAAATTTTATTTTGCTTGTAGCATGAAGCAGTCCTTTTCCTTAGAGATGTGAAGAATGTGGTGTTTTTTAGTTTACACATCTTACTCTTCTCCTTGCATTGTAATGCAAAAGTGATGTTTTGCAAATTTTTAATGTTTAATATGAATATCTGCATATAGTTATGCCGTGAAATTTCAGTAAATGACTAGGAAAAACAATAAATGACTATAATTATTCCAGGAATGGGTAAAGACTGATGCAGTGATTAAGCTTCATAGGCTGGAGCTGGACCGTAGCAGTACCTGGCTCTTTTCTGTGTTTTGCAGATTTCTGGATTAGTTGGCACTTGAGGGTTGGTGGGTTGGGTTTTTTTTTTTGTTTCATGTTTTTTTTTTACCAATACAATTGCATTTAAAATATATATAAATAAAATTGTATTTTGGGTAACATTGAAAAATTCCAGTTATATAGTTTGATTCAGGTGGAAAAATTAACAATTCCATGCTATTTTTTCCATAGCAACTTGGGATTCTTATTTACTGGTGTACACCCAGAAAATATAATGTAAGAGCACAATGCTTTTTTTTTATTATTATTCTCACCACTCAAAAGTTTTTACTTCTCAGGTCATTCAACATTGTAAAGGAATTAGCAGATAGTAAAAAGAAGTTGGGACAGAGGAAATGAATTTTAATAAGTGTTCCAGGGTGCTTTGATGTAAAATAGTTTAGGCTTTAGAAGAATGCAGATTATTTCTTATCCTCCTTTTTCTGTCCAGCCATTTGATATCCGCAGACACAGACAAATGCCTGAAAGTGATGTTTTCCCACCTCCTTCCATTTGTATTTGCTTGTGAATCTGACTCAGGTGTCTTCATTAACACTCTTTGATATTTATCAATACAATCAGAAGGCCAGAATACAGAAACTATGTCAAAGTTAGAGACATTGTTGATGCTAAATTACAAGTCTGGTTTTGCCTAATTCTGGAGCAGTAGACAGCAAACTTTGGACATTCCAGGACATGTGATCTGATTTTGTATTGATAATTACATGCCAGCTGCTAAAATCTGATTTGTCACTAAAACCAGCTAACCTGGCAAAGAGCTTTCAACATGAGATCAAAATGTTGCTCTGAAAATAGACATTAGGTGGATAATAAGCTCCCACTGGGGGAAAAAAAAAATAAATTTGCACTTGTGGCTATAATTTGTGGTTTGAGAGGTTTTAAAAGTGTAATCTCAAAGCCTGAACATAGTTTGTATTTAGATTAATAACTAGGTACTAGCATCTTATTTTCTCACTGAATTTTGAGTGAGTTTTCTTTACAGGACTCCTGTTTTTCAGAGGTGATGTGCAAAGTTCTAGTGGCCACTGAAGTAGTTAGAAATTTTTTCCCCAGTTTCATATTTAAGGTTAATGCAGTGAGTTCTTGTGGAGACACCTGTTCACCATCTTGTTGAATTGTAAATGTTCCCTTATGCTTTTGGAATAAATTCATTTTGTAATTTTGTTTGGCTCATTGTTTCACAGTCACTCTGCAACATTTTGTGTTGGCTTAGTAAAAGGGTGCCCTGGTATCTTTTTGTTTTAGTAACTTAAGATTGCTATAGATGTATTTCTTAATAGCAAATACCTCAATACATCTTGGCAAGATTGCATTAGCTGTGTCAACTTTTAAGTAATTCAACTTCTAACTCCTAAATTTTAGATAGGAATTTAAATATTTAGCAAAAGCTGCATGTCATACATCTTATTTGGGAATTATGTGAAAAGAGGTCATTCATTGTCTTATTCAACCTCCTAGATGTTAATGCTTGCAATAAAATTTGTTAGTATCTTAAGATAAAGCAAGAGTGGCCTGGAGTAGCAGCCAGGGTTTTTAGGTGTAATCTACACTATGCCTGATGGGAAAACTGGCAGCAGTAAGGAACTGTCATGCTTGTGGGAATGTGTTTTCTACCCCGAGAAACCAAATCCCTTGCACTACTTTAACCACTCTAACACCATTTGTAATTTTTTTTTCTTTGTTTCTACTTAATGAGTTTGAGTTGCAGGCAAATTTTACTGTTTAACAAGCTCTGGGAAGTCTGGTGTCCCCAAGCAGAATGTTTGCCACTTGCTTGCTAACTTAGGAAGGTTGAACAAACTGAAGTTTGCTCCAAACCAGGGAAACAAGCTCTTTACTCTCCACTAGAATAGGAAAGGACAAGTTGAGATTGTTCTGTGTAACTGAAAAGCCTTAAAAGGAACGAGCAGTGATGTGCTGTTTTTCAGAGCTAACTTCAACTGGCTCCTCAGGGAACTGGCACAAAGCGGGGACACCCGCAGGTATGGTTCGGTTTCCTGGGGACAAGAAGTCTGTTTCCTCAAGCTGTCGCGGCAACCGTTTCTGCGTACATTAAATTTAAAAAAAAAAAAAAAAAAAAAAAAAAAAAAA